TGTCGGAACGGTCGCAAAAGGGGGGGTCGCGTGATGCTGCAACCGTCATAAATACGAGTCGGTGGCCCAGCGTCTGAATTTGGATCCCGTAACCCTGGGGATACGGTGGTCCCAAGCGTGAAAACCGCTCCTAAAGTCCCTTTTTCTTCAGTGCCGTTGTAACTTCGCAAACGGTCATTAAGTGGACGTCCGTAAGTCAAGGACTCGCTGTGCTCTCGCCTAGGACATGACGGCCGGGCGGGAATGGCCACTTTGGTGCTACAGCCGGACGCCGACTTCGACGGCCCTCAAATCTACCAGCACGTAGCCGAGCTGCTTCCTCCGTACGCCTGGCCTCGCTTCCTGCGTCTCCAGGTGAGACTTGGGTTCGAGTCCCCTCGCTGGTTTCACAACGGCCCTGCGAGGGAGACAAAGGGCGTGTGTGTGTGTGTTTTTTTTTTTAAAGATCTGGCCGTCACGGTTAACGACGGCCTAACTTTCTCCCTCTGCAGGAGCAGCTGGAAATGACGGAGACCTTCAAGCAGAAACGGTTCCGCCTCGTGGAGGAAGGATTTGACCCCAGCCGGATCACGGATCCTCTTTTCGTCCTGGACGTTACGGCGAGGACCTACGTCCCTCTCACTTTGGACCTCTGGAGGAAGATCGCCGCGGGAGAGCTGCGCCTGTAACGGACGCTATCCAAGCACCGGGGGGGGGGGAGGGAAACGACTCCGTGGCACCGGGAAATCCTGGCTTGGGGGACGGCCGGGAGGGACGGGACCTTAGCTGTGCCCGAATCGCCCCCCTTTCCCTTGGCCCGGTGTGTTACAGGAAGTCCTCAACTTACGACTGCAGCGGAGGCAGGAATGGAGGCTCATTTTACGACGTTTTTTTTTATAGCTGTTGTTGAATGAACTTTGCGATTATTAAGTCCAGAAGGGAGTTTTGGGCCCAGAAACTGAAATTTAAACCTTGGTTACTGTTTTGTTTCATATTTTATTATAGAAAAAAGGGCTCTTTTGCTGAGATAGGCCGCCGTAGAAATGAAATACATTCAATTTCCATCGTTCGATGCCTGGGAAAACCCCATTTACGGCGAGATGCCCGTGAATTCGCAGAACGGACGTCGCCATCGGATTCGGAGCCCTTCGGAACGGTTGTGGGGTGTGTGTGTGTGTTCAAACCTTCCCTTTCATCAACGGACTGATTTTATGACATTTTTTTTGTGTGGCTGTTGTTAAATGGACTTTGCCGTCACTAAGTGAGGCTTGGTCCAAAAGGGGAGCCAGAAACTGGAACTTAAACCTTGGTTTCTGGTGAAAAGGAAATAAGAAGTCAAATCGGGAGGCTGTAAATGAGGGGCCGGAGGGGGTTCCTAGGTTTGAAACGGGATCGTAACTTGGGATGTTAAGCGGGCCGGTCGTAATTCGAGGTCTGCCTGGATTCTTTCCCGTGAATCCTTACCTTCATTCTCACACAACGACGAGAAAGTGTCTTGACTTGTAACGCTCCTGATTTTTTTTACGATTTGGGGCTGGATTCTCCCGTTTCTTCTAATTTTTTTTCCCTAACCCCTCGTCGTTCCTTGAACCCAGGATATAAACACCCTAGTCGATCAGAAAAGTCAGCAGTTCGGCGGTTCGAATCCCGAGCGCCGCNGAGATAAATTAGATGATAGATAGATAGATAGATAGATAGATGATAGATAGATAGATAGATAGATAGATAAATATAGATAGATAGATAGATAGATAGATAGATAGATAGATAGATAGATAGATAGATAGATAGATAGATATGAGAGCGGGAGAGATACAAGTTGACCTTGGCTTTCTAGACAGAATGTTGTTATGGCTACGTATCATCTAACTCCCGTTTTCCCACCATAGAAAATGCATAGCAGAAGAATAGAAAGCGTGGCAGGCCCAAGATCCGAGAGAAAAGAGGGTTGCAGGCCTGACACTATGCAGCTTTAAAAACTTTAGAAATCTGTGAAAAAGAAGTTTATCAAGTATTTTTTTTTTTGTTTGAATTGTTTAGGTTTCTCCCCTTGTTTCCCCAAGGTAGATTCCAGAGCCTTAGTATGGTAACCAAGCAAATACATGAAGCGAAAGAGCTTTCTGAAATAAAAGGACATTATAAAGGGCCAATGTTTATAAAGGACATTATAAAGGGCCAATGTTTTTAATCGGTCACTGAAATCAGAAGTAAAAGAAGGGTTACTGGATAAAAATAAATAAAAAGAAGCAGAAGAGCTAAAAGATTTGTGCACGGCGTTCGTAGAACGAGAAACCTTCCTTTTAAAATTGCATCGTGATTTCTTTCTCCCTTCAGTGCTTCAGCCCCTTCGAGTTGGTGCGTTTCGACGCTGTCCAAGGCGCTCCACTTAGAGACGAGGCCACCGGACGGTGCCAGCGTGTGGACATAGGTGACCGAGGAAGCTTTTTTTTGGGGGGGACACATCTTCCATTTCCCTCCCCTTCTGTCCCACGTTGTGTTGTTTTCCAGCGAGTTACAAGCAATCCTTCGCTTAACGATCGCAATTGGGAGCAGAATTCGCACGGCTAAGCCGCCTTGCTCCAAGTTGCGGTCGTTGGACACGAGTCACGACCAATTTCACGACCTTGTGTTGCTAAATGAATCACGGCAGTGTTTTAAGACAACTAGGCAGTCATTAAACAAATCTGGCTCCCCCACCCGTTGACTCATCGAGAAGCCAGTTGGAAGGGTGTACATTCGCGATCCCGTCAACCAAGGAAGAGCCGAGGTGGCGCAGTGGTTAGGGTGCAGTACTGCAGGCCACTTCAGCTGACTGCTATCTGCAGTTCGGCGGTTC